ATAAAACAAATCAACAAGGGAAACCGCATGGACATTTGGGAAAACTTGAACATCCATAAATTCAACAGTCATAAATCACTTATCGAGGAACAAGTACAAATCAAAACACAACAAGATCTCACATTCAATATATTAAACAAAACCATACACATTCCTAGAGAAGATCTAACACGAAGAAGAGTACCTGATGCAGAACAAATACAGGCAAAAGGCAAAATAATCCTTGAAAACTCAGAACACGTAGCGAGAATAACGTGAATCGCTACTTTCGTGCAGACACCGCTCTTAGAGCGCCTTTTGAGGATTTTCCTGTAGTGCTTGTATTTTTCCGTTAAAAAAAAGAAACCCGGAAAAACAGCTCATCAGCCATACTCCTCGGAAATGGCTCAACCGATTGTCATGAAATGTTATATGTATATTCGGTAGGTCTGAGAATAAATTTTATTTTATTTTTTATACCCCTAAGTGATGAGGGTGGTCGACCCCACACGTCTTTTAAACTTTTTTGGACAAAATCTTTTGTTTTTATTATTTTTTACTAGCCAATTTAGTAGGGATGAGAACGAAGCCGGTCTCCTGTCTTTCTCACACAATGCTCTTTCTCTGACTGCCTACACAGTTTTCTGATATATTATTGTTCATCCATCATGCGTTGATACAGTTTGTGATGCCACCGAAGCTGTGAATTATTCAACAGAGTTTTTGAACTCATTGGATATGCAAGGAATGCCACCTCATAATTCACAACTGAAGGTTGGATCGCCCGCAATTTGAATCCAGCACGGCTCTGCAACAGCACGCGATTAGTGAATTTATTAAAAACATTGTCAGAGCCAGCATTTCAAACGGCAAGTTCCGAGGTGAAAATATATTGATACCCGAATCCCTATTATACCTACAGATGTGCCAATTCATTTTAAACGTGTGCAGTCTCAAGTACAAACAATGTCCGTTTGTGGCTTGGATTTGAGCACACCATGTTCTTCACAAGTACAATTATACCTGGCATGCTCTCGAGTGGGCAAACTATCCAGTATATATAATAACTTGCGATTACGTTGGTTTTGTTTTACGTAATGAATCATTTTAAAGGTTGAAGTCGCATTTTTGTATTGTTGTCTTCACCCATTTCGAAAATAAAATTGATGGATGTGAATATAATTTCGTTGATATGGTAGGTATATTCAAAATATCGACCATATGAAGATTTGCGTGGGATGTCTGTAGATATATGAGAATAGTTCCAAACAATTATATTCGTTATGAGAAGATCATAGAGAGTATTCATAAATTATGTCATAATGTGCGTTATTGGATGTTATATATACATTTTTTTCAGGACTGAAATATTCTTTATAACTTTTCCAGTTCTATTATTAGTCAATTCATTCATCGAAGATGTGCATTCCCAGGTATATTTTCCCAACACTATGTTTCTCATCAACTCTCTTCCTAATCTCTACCTCCGCCATTGCTATTGATATCCTACCTCTGGTTCAGGACCCATTTGTGGAGCTGATCTATCAAAGTCATCTGCTTTTCTATGTCTGTAATTCCTGAGTATCCATGCACCCACTATAGACTCTGATTCGGTTTATCAGTTTGTTCAGTTCTTAATTGCATTCTCAGACTAGTCTTGATGCCATTCATGCATTCATCAACATCCCAAGTGCAGCCAGGGTGTCTGTAAGAATATTATTCCTTCCATTTCTTTGAGACCTCAAATTGATATTCTTTGTGCGTGATATTCTTCCAAGATGGATATAAATTGACCCCGTTAATTGTTGTAAGTTTCTTCTGCACAGTATGTTCCGAATTTGCCAAGTTCCTTTCTGCTTGGTGAATGCGGAGGAATCCTATAAAGTATGGCATGATAATGAAGAAAACGAAAGATTTGCCAGACTACTTAGTCAACGAGTAATACTGTGAAGTAAAATCTCGCGATAATGCCGAAAATTCTGAAACGATTCAAGAAAGACAGATATTCTAACAAAGACAGTGTCTTCATCTGGGTTGAAAAGTGAGAGTACTGGTTACTATTTCTATGGCTAACAGATGCTTGAAACGAGTTCAATTTTGTCGCATAAATGTTTTGAATACTTGTAAGGTTTAATGATTTGGAGTGTCTTGAAGTAAAAACTAGTGAATTTTCACCATTATTTCATTTTCATTATAGCTTTCTTCCGTTTTCTCATCTACAAGAGTAAACATAGTTTGAGAAATACCTTTCTGGGAATTGTTGAAAAGGAACTACAATTAATATATGAGTGACCTAATCACTTTTTCGACAAATTCCCGTATTAAAATATCTACGGCTGTATTAAGATCAAAAATCATTATACACGAAAAAACTATGTTTGTCAAAAATTGCCCTCGTGATAGTTATTTGTGTTCGCAACGAACTGAACTGTATCACTGAGTGTGATAGTGTCATAGTAGGGAAGTTGGGGGTAATAAATATCGTGAAACTTTTTGTCTGACATGCGGGAGATAAATCCGTTTTATTGTTATTGATGCGGATGAACCAATTTTTTAGTTGATTACTTCTGAAGGTTATAAAATGATGAATTATTTTTTTCAGTATAATAAAATATGGGATGATAAGTCTGCAGATATCCTACAGTGAGCTTTTTCAATCAATTAAACATTTGTAGCGAACAATTAGTTACTGATTTTTTTCAAATCTTTTGAATTCTGTGGTACTTACTTAGTTTCATTGGCAAATCATTACCTAATAGTTCCCTAACTTTCATAGCGTTTTATTTTGTAGAGGAGAGAAAAGAGAAACACGCTGATGATGGATATCATTCATTCATGCGCAGTTATTTGAAAGGAGACTAATAACAAAGAAAACTCAAATGGACTGAAAATATTAAATATTACATTAAAATATGAACGAAAACTGAAATATTTGAAGTGGTACCTTTTATGAAAAAACAAAAGTTTTTTCTATTATTTCTTAAAATTCAGATAGTAATTGAATGTTGATCATACAGATGAGTCGTCTTCTAGGAAAAACTATATTTTTTGTAGAAAATTTCATAATACCGCAATCAATTGGTCATTTTATATATTCTTCTAATGAACATTTCATCTGAGATACGTTGAACATAAATAGTAACGTTTCAACAAATATTTCTGCTGTTTTTCCTCAGTTAACTTTGATGCAGATATATTTAGTGTATGTATTATCTAGATACCTTCAAAGATACTGTATTGGTTCTTGTCTATTGATAAACCACCTGAGAAAGTGAATATTCATGTAGAAAATGGGAGAAAATCATCTAATTCCACTGAACATAGCTTCAGCAAAAAAATGATTTCGCATTATGTGCTATTCATTTTGTCACTGTGATTTGTAACATTCAACAACAGATACGAAATAATTCCATGAAACTGCATACTGCGATTCGGTTTGATTTCACTCTTTCCTTTGTATTTGCTAGATGTCTAACATTTGCAACATGTTTAACATTATAAGAATGTAGGCTTTAACGGCTGGCGTCGATGTTTTTATTGGTTTTCAGGTTTCGCCGTGGTCTCCTTTGGTTACAATCTCTAAACGTCTCAACTGCAACTGCGGCAGTCATCTTCAGTGGCGTTGAAGTAGTCTTCTTGACGTATCAACTGAAACTGTTTGTTGATTGTTACCAAAGAATACCGCGGCAAAACCCGGAAACCAACAAAAACATGTTAAACATTAGCAATTTATTTAAATGTTCCTAATGATTGGGAAAAGTGCACGTTATTTGGTTTATTTTATGCCAGAGGCTCTAGTTTCACCATCTGAATTTCATCAATTCAATGCATTACCGACCACACTAGTCAAATTATCACTTTCATTGTCATAGCGATCGTTAAGAAATTTGACAGAACCTTTTTATGAATTTGAATAAGCGGATAATTGAATCATATGCTTCATAAGTATCTGAATTTTTTGGTAAGGTTTTCTGCGGACATTAGAATGTGTAAGTGAAAGATTCAAATGTTATTTCAAAAACTGCACCTCCCAATTTGATCTCCACAAACTTTATTTGAAAAAATATAATCACATGTTTCGCTAGCACAGTAGTTTTTTCAAGGGTATGAATACTTCAAATTATTC